TATTAACCGCATTTTTATGAGATTTCAGAGCGGATTACATTTCAGTTTACTCTGCCAATCTGATGTGGTAGAAAAGTAAGACATGGCGATTATGAAAGCAATATCTTCCTTTTTATGTCTACAGCTTTGCTAATTGATATCACCTCTCCGTTATTTACCGTCTTCTTTGTGCTTGCTCTCCCAAGGTTTCTCCTATACCGAACGAGAGAGAAACCACTGCAAGCAACTGCCTGCTTTTTCATCGAGCATGCGCGAGCATCGTGCGGCACGTGCTCTTGGACGTATTGTAAACCAAAAGAAGTGCCATCTGGTGAATTAGTGATTTTCCATGTCCGGTTGGAGGAATGGCCATAATATCGTGACCCTTTGAAAATGGAGAACAGCCAGTCTTTATTCAGTGCTTAACTTCGCTATCCCTAAAGATTTCAAGCCCTCAAAAATTTTACACAAAGCTTTATCCTATATGTAAGTCGTTGGCAATAAACTTAAACGATGACCTACACGCCTTTTTGATCTTTTCACAATCGGTACGCATAAACCCAGCAGTATGTTGGTTGGCACATGCATGCGAGCTTAAACAGCTATCCAAACTGGTTTTACTGGTTCAAAGTTAATTCATTCATTCCCGGCGCTGGACAGCTGTTAAGAACGAACGGTTACTCGCAGTGGTTCTCTCTCGGTCAATGTAGAAGAAATCAACTGCTCGCAAGGCGAAGGGAAGCAGGATCTTAAAATTTTGCAGTTTTGAGCTGTACGTGTACCAAAATAGATACTTACAGGTAGATCTAATTTGAAAAAATAATTTTTGTTTGTTTGTATATATTTGTTTTCCAGCAAAGCACAAATGTAGTGGTCTTTACGAGGATGATCAAATTTGCAAGACAGGTACGCATTATCTTCCTAATATCTTTGGCTGCTTTAGTTTCTATTTCCTCTACGTTCGATGTGCTAGAATTCTCTGTTAGTGTTATAAAGCCCATTATAAGATCGCTGGCAGCTCTCGTGGGTAATGTGAAGCGAATCCTGTGTTCTCATTGGCTACACGAGCGGGCAAGATGGTCCTATCTTGCCCGCCCGGGATTGCCCGCTTTGATTCCGCGAAAATAGGGAGGGACTTACAAAGTTCTTAAATTTTTGGAAATTCTCGGCGATGGAGACGCAAAAGCGGCAGTGGACAGTAAAGACAAAGATAACATAAACGACTCTCGTGGGTTTTTTGTCCAATAAACACAGTTGACTTTCTTCTCCGGCTCTCAAAACAAACAAATTATCCTCGATTATTAATAAAGCGAATCATGTTTGTCATATAAGGAATCCTTTCTTGACCAGGCGTGTTCGGTCAAGATAGCTGTTTATCAGCCTGGTTTTTTTTTCGTTTATATGGACCTGGACCTCGTCTCGATTTTAAAAATGCAAACAACAGAACTCCGGCAATATACAGCCATCTTGACCTCACGTTTGGTCGATAGCGCCGATAAACATCTGTGGTGATATTCCTGGTTTGTTAGTACTTTCTATTATGTCCCTTTTTTTTTCAACTTCCAACAGTGGATCACGAAGAAAGTGATTAAAGCTGATATGATTAGATATGATTTCAGTCACTTCTATCAGGAAGAAACGGTTAGAAATTGAACAAAAGCCGAGGAGATAGACCACGGCTGCAAGCCATATTAAAAAAAAAAAAAAAAACTCAAAAAAGTTCGGAAAGGGTCACGATTTTAGAAAAGGGTTTATACTCTCTTACGCTGGATACATCGTCAATCACATATTGGGACGGAGTGTGACAGAAATTGGAAGTCGTTCTTCCTTGAATCTTTCTACTGATCGCCACTAGTGACAAGCCCACAATAATAACTCAATGCGGTTTTCGTCATCAGGATAGGCGAGGATTTCAACATATAGATATGTGTACATGTATGTTGCTGGTTGCCTCTCTACCTAGCTATCAACCAACCCAGCTAAAGTCCCTCTCATGGAATTCGGATATAGATACTCGCTCATTTTAGTTCACTTACGCAGGCTACGTTTTTAGTAAACTATACAGAGTTTCGCTGACTTTTTAGTTTATTACTTGCAAAAGTCCTTTTTTCGGAACGAAGGTAAGGAGGCGATGGGACGTCTAGAGGAACGTCGTGAAGTTTGTTTTGGTCAGGTCTGCTTATTTTCGGTTAATCTGAACTATGTTGCTAAATTACGGATTGTTACTAAGCGTCACCTGTAGGAGAGTGAAATGAGGTCTCAACCATCGCTTGTGTCTCGCTTGTAGACATGTAATTTTGAGATAAACTAAAAGAGATTTTCTTTTTATTCTAGTCAAAACTCTTTGGATTGTAGTATTTGCCGTTGTAGTGCTCGTGTTTGCTGTTGTTATCATTATAATCATTTACATGGTACACAAAAGAAGAAAGTGCAGGCGCAAAGATCAAAGGAGTAAGTACATAAAACTTTACTTACAACTCAGGAGTTACACTCAAATATAGTTTATTTCTATTTATTTATTTATTTTTTTCACATCTTGCTTAGAATGTTGTGTTGTTTTATTTTGCGTCGGCTGATCCCATGTTTCGCTGCTAAGCAAGTTAAAAGATGGTTTCGTTACCCTGTGTCATGAGTGAAAACAAATTCCAGTNCCCGGACACGGTTGGTGTCCGGGACCGTTTGAATTTTCCAGCCTTGAGTTTTTCGTTATACATGTACAGTTGACTAGTAACACCACACGCGTTACAAAGAAAGTCGCCAAAATAGTGCTAAAAGGACCGTAAACGACAAAGTAGCTACGAAAAAAAGGTTAGGAGACTTCATACGATGTATTTCTCCCATTTATTACCACTTTAGTTTTTTCTTTATTTGTTCTTTATAATTATTTTTTCCTTTAATGCAGTTGACTGGTGACACCGCACGATTTACAAAGAAAATTGCCAAACCAGCGTTAGAACAACAAAGCAACAAAGCGGCTACGGAAAAAAGGTAGGGAGACTTCACACGTTTTATTCCTCGCTTTTATTATCCTTTTTCAATTTGTTCTTAATTTTTTTAAATTATTTTTTCCTTTTTTCAAGGGCCCCCGCTTACGCTTAAAATTCCATTTTAATATGTTAGGTATTGCCGTTAATGAACTTTATACCCCAAAGTCACACACAGTACGCTTGGGCCGCCTGTGTTTGAACGAAAACATTCAGTTTCCAATTCGTGGGTTCAGGCAGAAGTCCGTGAGACCTCTTCCATTCCATCACGATCAAGAAAGACCTTTTGGAGCTTAAATGAAAACTACATATTCCACAAATATGGATAAGCGCTAGGCACACCGGATAAGTGTTGATGCAGATGGCGATGCTGATGGTGTTTAGAGCAGATAATTTTGAGATGAGACCTCTTTAAAGCAATTGCATTTGTTATTATTTTCTTCGACTAAGAAGAGTAGGGAGTATCGGCCTGACCAAAAGAAGAAGCGAAAGTGAATCGTTCTTTCCTTAATGGACCCTTCAAAATTGTCTGTTGCTCCTTGGAGTAAACAGCAATTGCAACTGATTGCTGAGCACAATGGCAGAAGTGTCGCCTTCTCTGTAGGAGAATCTAAAATTTGTGCAGAAAGTGATGGCTACTTTGTGGAGTTTCAGAAATTGGTGGTTTGCTATTATGGTTATCTTGCTGAAAAGAAGTCTGCTTATCAGCTTGATCTTCTTTGGTGCACCAAGGGTTGTTAAGCTATTTCTTACTGAATTACTTGGTCTTGTCCAAAATCGAAAGGATTTAAATTAACGTAAAGCGTCCGTTTTGTTCATTATCGAGGATAATAATAAATAACTGGGGAGGATGTGCTACCATTCTATGATATCAAGAAATGGATAGTTATTCTAGTCTTCTCGGATAAGGACGAATAAACCGTAGGTCCCGTCTCCTGCAGGGTTAGGGGTTGGAGATGTTAATTTCCCGCGCAGGAGATTACTGTGTGGTGCATGTCCTCCCCTGGGATGGGATGGATGGGTATATCTGCGCTGATGAAACGGGAGACCGTCTCGATCCCCGGAACTGGAGGCCCATCAGTTTGCTTAATGTGGACTACAAGATCGCCTCCCGATGTATCGCCGGCCGTCTTTTAAAAGTCATACACTCGATTGTAAACAAAGATCAAACATGTGGTGTTCCGGGGCGGAACATCGGTGAGAATGTAGCTTTCCTCCGAGACGTCGTCGACTTCGCAACATCTTCGGGTTCCCCTGTTGCCATTCTCTCCCTCGACCAGGAGAAGGCACTTGACAAGGTCGATTGGGGTTTTATGTTAGCTACTCTTGAGGCTCTGGGGTTTGGCCCCTCATTTGTCGGCTGGGTTGAGCTCTTCTACCGTGCGGTGAGGAGCGTTGTAAACGTAAACGGTCATCTCACTTCCTTTTTCCGCCTGTCTCGTGGTGTCCGGCAGGGTTGCCCCCTGTCGCCACTTCTGTATGTCCTGGTTGCCGAGATGTTTGCCGTGAATCTCCGTTCCAATCCTCGCATTCAGGGCATCTCTTTCCCCGAAGTCGGTTCAGTCTCTCCCATTGTCCAATACGCAGACTACACGTCGCTGGTGCTCTCCTCCGACGATTCCATGAAGGCTGCGTTTGAGGCTTTTGCCTTATTTGAAAATGCGTCTGGCTCCAAGCTTAACCTGGCCAAGTCCAAGGGCCTTTGGCTTGGGGGCTGGAGCGGTCGCTCTGACCCCCCTGTCCTACTTGATTGGTCTTCCTCCAGGTTGAAGGTTCTTGGCATCTTTATTGGCCCTGGGAACCTTGAAGAAGTCAATTGGCGTCCCCGATTGATGCGGTGGACCATGTTCTCAAGCCTTGGCGTTCTCGTTCCCTATCCTTTCGTGGCAAGGCCCTTGTTATTAATGCCCTTCCGCTTTTCCGGGTCTGCTATGTAGCCTCCCTCATCCATATGCCGGCCTGGGCGTGCAAGGAGCTCTCCTTTCTGGCTTTCTCCTTCTTCTGGTCCGGCAAGCGGGAACTTGTTTCTCGCTCTGCTGTGACCCAGTCTCCTGTCTTTGGTGGTTTCTCCGTTGTCAATGTTCGTTTTAAAGTCTATGCTCTTCTTGGCCAGTGGGTGAAGAGATTTGTCTCCTCGCCCTCTGGCTGGTGCGTCTCCTTGTCTTCCTGTTTTTGTGTCGCGTTTTGGTGTCTATCCTCTAGATATCTTTTCCCGCCCTTTTTCATTTGACCCCAGGGCCTTTCCACCCTTCTACCATTCTCTATTACTAGCCTGGCGGAGCCTTAATGGCTCCTTTTCCCACTCGTATCAAACTCTTGTATATGGTTCGTCTACTCCCCTTATTTGTGCTCCTGTCTTAAACATGTCTACTAGTCTCTGTTATCGTTACCTACTTTCTGAGAACATGGTCCCGCCGCATTGTGTGGAGAAGTTTAACACCATCTATGGGAATCTGGACTGGCCTGACGCGTGGCGCTTCCCGTCCCTCTTCCATCTTGATCGTCAGGTCACTGACCTTTATTGGAAGATTGCACACGGCGTCTTGTACACTGCACAGCGTCTGGCCTCCTTCGGCTCATCTGTACCTTTACCTTGCTTCTGTGGTGCCCCGGTGGAAACAACGGAACACCTTTTCTTTTATTGCCCCCCTGCTCAGAGTGTTCTTTCTTGGTTACAGTCGTTACTGTTTGGTTTCTCTTCCATGTGTCCTGTTCTCCTTCTTCGTCACGTCCTCTTTGGCCTCAACTCTAATGAGTTGAGGGCCACCCCTTGTGTTTTCGTCTATCTCCTCAATCTCTGTAAATTCTTTGTCTGGCAATCTCGTAATGACTTTCGCTTCCGTAATTCCAGGCCTGGCGCTGTGGACGTCATCGCTCGCGTGAAGACCCGCCTGAAGTTTCATCTTAACATCTTCTTCAGGCGCTTCACGTCGACCCGACGTCGTTGCTTCTTCAATCGGCAGTGGGGTAGCTTCAGTGGTCAACGACACCCTTATCTTTGCCATGTAGCCTCGCTTGCTGGAGTGGTGTGTGAATTTTTCTGTTTGAATGGGTGTGTCTCTGTACTGCTCGTGCTGGGTCTCCTTCATTGGAGTACTACACAGTAGCCCTTTGTCGGTCTCGCTTGCTTGAGTGATGTGTGGATTTTTTTTTTGCTTGAACGAGTGTGTCTGTGTGCTGCTTGTGCTGGGTCTCCTTCATTGGTGCACTGCACAGTAGCCCTTTGTTAGTTTCCGTTTCGTAACCCATGTGCTGGGTCTCCTTCGTTGGTGTACTGCACTGGGCTTGTATCGTTCTGTCGTTTTAGGTTTTTGTCTTTTACCCTTACTGTTTGTTCTTTTGCGTGTGTGTGTTCAATTTTTGTTTCCAGTGAGGTGGGGTTCGATTCCCCAGCGATGTTGGCGACTGGTGTCCCTCGTTTGTTGCGGTCCCAACCCTAAGGCCTTGCACTCTAGCCGTGGGTTGGAGTAGACGTTATGGTCGGCAGGCATCACACCGCCCTCACGGGAGCCTGACCGTCCGCTTCAAACATAAAAAAAACCTACGCTGGAACTATTCAATTTCGGGTAATGACCCATTTAAAGAAGTTGATTTCTTTTTAAGCAAGGAAGGTGCCGACAAATACATTGGGTATGCAACTAACATTGTGATCACAGTCTCACCTAATTTTCCCTCACGGGATCGTTGTTCGATCGAACGGCCAGCCACTTTGATAATCAATTATGTAAGTGCTTCTGTTACTGGGACGTATATTTTAGGAGTTAAGCTGCAGTCAGCGAAAAGAACCTACGGCTTAATCGACCCAGATTTTCTCGGTAAGCCGATGTAATTATACATGATGTTTTGTGTGCAAAACGGTCCTAATACAGTGAAACTTCTATTAAGTGGATCCCCAGTCAAGCAGACACCTTCTTTTAAGACTAAGCCGGGTTTTACATTTCTCTTAAAAATGAACTACTATTCAGTGGATACCTTTATTGAGCGGACGTAGACACCATTAAGTCGACGTAGACACTAAATTTAAGAGTTTCCACTTGCGAATAAAGAACATGAAAAACGAGCCCAAAGATGAGCAGTTAGCTCGTAAATTCCCCCACGAGATTTCTCCACGGACGAGATTATGACACCATGATTTAGAAACTATTATTTGAAAATGCTTTTCTCTTAATAACTCAGACGCTTTTGGAGATTTGAATTTTTGAAAATGAATTTTCTCGGATAAAATTAAAAATGATTTTTTCGGCCTCTACTAAGTAACCTTCTTAGTTGATCACTCCTTTGTAAGTTAACCGTAATTATATAAAGTAACTAAATCTTCTAGTCTAGGTTGAATTGCATCTTGACTGGTTTTAAATATAAAAATACCGTAGATTATTGACAGGTTGTTTAAACAAATCTTCTTTAATATGAACTTGTCATCGCCAAAGTGATTTCACCCAATTCCTACTGGCAACCACTCACTCTTTT